TGAGGCTGGCTTTGAAATTGGGATCCTCCTGTCTCAGGCTCCTGAGTTGCCTCAAATTTTCAAAATCATTGTAGTATCTCTGTCTCATTTGCTTTTGTTCTCATTGCTGTTTTTTCACCTTTTGTAGTGTAATGAGAAATAAATGTGTGCTTCACTTACTCTGTAAACACAAGTTTTCTTTTAGTATTTTCTATGACAAGAATGGTCACTTATTTATAACTGGTTGTGTGTCTTATTTGTCCTTTTAAATTTTGTTTAATTATTTTCTAGTTTTATCTTCAAGTTCTTTTAAATGTATTCTATGGGTTTCTTATTCTTCTGTACTCTTGTAACTCTTGTGTTTTAACAGTATTTTTTGGCTTGAACTCACTAAAATAATTCTTCAGCTCTGACATTATTTTCTCCCCATTTCATTTTGAACACAGTACCTTAAAATTCTACACACAAATATACATATAATCATAAGTGGAGTTTAGTGGATAAAATTATTATACTGTACAGATCTGTACCTGGTTGATAACCAGGTTAAGAAATTCAATTCCATTGAAGCCTGTTTATGTTCTTTCCCAATCAGTCCTATTCTTTTTTTCACAAAGATAACTATAATTTGAACTTAGTGATACTCATTCTGATTTTATACTTATACTTACCTTCCCATAGCTCTCCAAATAGTTTACATTTACATGTGTTTGAAATTTTGTGAAGTGACATTCTGTGTATTCTGTCACTTCTGTTTTATTTCATTTTTTTTTGGTACTGGGGATTGAACCCAAGGGCACTTCACTACTGAGCTGTATACCTAACCCTTTTTATTTTTGGTACCTGGGATTGAACTCAGGGTCATTGAACCACTGAGCCACATCCCCAGCCCTTTTTATATTTTATTTTGAGACAGGGTCTCGCTCACATGCTAAGGGCCTGGCTATGTTGCTAAGGCTGGCTTTGGACTTGTGATCCTCCTACCTCAGCCACCTGAGCTGCTGGGATCACAGGCATGGATCACTGTGCCCAGCACTTTTTTTTTTTTTTTTTAAATTTTGAGACAGGGCCTTCCTAATTTGCTAAGGCTGGCCTTGAACTTATGATCCTCCTGCCTTGGCCTCTTAAATCACTGGGATTACAGTTGTACACAACTGAACCCAGTCTATCACTATTTTTTAAACCCAAGATTATATTTTGGATATTTTTTCATAAATCTGTTTAGATCATTTTCTTGCTGCTGGGTGGTATTCTACTGGTTGTGTGCACATGCTAATTTTTATTTAATATTCTACTCTTGACAGATACCCCCTCCCCACTCTCCATACTAATGGTGCTGCTTTGAACAGTTCTGTGTGCTTTAAAAGTGTATATGTATGGGCTGGGGTTGTGCTTCAGTGGCAGAGCACTTGCCCTAGCATGTGTGAGGAACTGGAATTGATTCTCAGCACTGCATATAAATAAATAAAATAAAGGTCCATTGACAACTAAAAAAATATTTTGAAAAAAGGTTTATATGTGTTAAGATAACTCTAGAGTATAATTCCTACAAGTAGGATTTACTTTTGGAGTCTCTGCTCTCTTCTGGATATGTACATTTGGCTTGTAGTTTTGCAGTGGTATTCTAGTTCATGACTTGGTTTTTACCTTCTTTATGGTGTCTTTTTGACCAATAGGACTATTTATCATTCCTTTAAATATCAGAAATTCTGTTTAAGAAACTCTTCCTTAGTATAAGGTTGTAAAGATACTCTGTTACAAAGAGTTTAATAATTTTCTTTTATATTACTGTACTTAAGCCATATTAAATTTTTTTCAAATAATGTGAAGAATCTATTGTATTTCCCATATGATAACAAATTATCTGAACATTATGTTAACTTTATGATATTCTGATAACATTACTGAAAGTTTATAGATATTCATAATAAATTGATTTTCCAATATCTGCAGTGCCAGCTTCTATATATAAAATTTCTATAAATACACTTACATTAACAATTCAATTAAAATCCACAGTCCAAGTATTAAAATCCATATATTCATATACAGACTATTACTAATAATTTACTTTTTTAAATGTCACATATAAATTTCACAGTAATTTCATGGTATATGAACATAGCTGGAAAAAATGAAAATGAAACCATGGGGACAGTACAGGTTGGAAAAGCAAAGCAAAGCAACTTCTAAATGAATGTGATGTAAGCTTCCTCTGGGACAGACCAGTCAGTCTAGTTTCCTGGCTTTGTGCCCCAGCTAGCCTTCTGCTCTGCCCTGCAGCTGAAGGGATTCAGATTTCCACTCTAAAAATAGTGTGCTTTTCTCTCTGAGCCAATATTTTTGCAGTTTTTAGATGGAAGCAGAGGGCATTGGTGGCTCTGATATTGGGCTACAGGTTGTAGAGGAAATAGTGGGCTGTGCTCTGTCTGGAAAGTGAGCAATAATTACATTGGGGAAAGACCCATTCCCATCATAACTCTATCTTCCTATCTTCCTACCATAAAATTCTGCAGAGATTCAAATAAAATAGTACTAGAAAATCATTTTAACTTCTGCCAGGCTTTCTTTCTTGCTACCATTTCAATGTCTGTCCCCACTAAAACTCAAATTCAAATTTAATTGCCATTTTAACAGTATTTATAAGTCAGACATTTGAGAGATGATTAGGCCTTAAAGGCTCTGCCCTCACAGGTAGGATTAACGCTTTCATAAAAGAGTGAATTTAGCCCCCCCCCCTTTTTTTGTCTCTTTGCAATTTTATCTGAGGCCATCTCAGTACATAATACAGGCTCTCTCTTGGAATCAGAATTACCAAACCTGCCAGCGTCTTGACAGTAGTCTTCCCGGACTCTTGAACAGTTAGCCAGTAAGTTTCTATTCTTGACAAATTATCCAGTCTGTGGTATTCTGTTAAAGGAGCACAAAGATATGGGCTAAGATATGTCTCTTTAATCTCTTGTAGGAAATTAATTGAAAATTTATTTACTTATATGTATGAATGAGAACAAACTTTAGTATTATTTTTAAATCCATATTACTTAAACTGAGGGTAGAGATCACTGGATAGAAGCAAGGTTTAAAACAACTTCTGGAAGGATGATCAGTGACAATGTTACTTAATACAACTTTGTTATTAAGGAGGCATAGAAAGGTGAGTTCATTTCTCATCTCTCTGAGCAGAAGGTGATTTCGAGCTAGCAGAGTGGCACACATGTGTAATCCCCACAGCCTGGGAGGCTGAGACAGGAGGGTGACAAGTTCAAGGCCAGCTTCAGTAACTCAGATAGGTCATAAACAACATAGTGACACCCTGTCTCAAATGAAAAAATAAAAAGTGCTGAGGATGTAGCTCAGTGGTGAAGTGCCTCTGGGTTAAATCTCCAGGCTGCCCGTCCCTACCCTCCAACACACATAAAGAATGTGACTGCAGGAAAGTAAGATAGGCTTAAAAACAGACGACCAGGGCTGGAAATGAGGCCCAGTGGCAGAGCACTTACCCAGCATGTGCAAGATCCTTAGGTTTGATCTCTAGCAACACACACACACACACACACACACACACACACACAGCATATCACTTTACTACAAAGAAAATTACTTTAAAAAAATTAACCTCTAAAAAAAATTTTAAAAAAATTAAAAAATTAACCTGATTCAAGCAGGCCTACATATTTTCATTCATTAATTCTTCCAAATGTTTGAGGGAATTAAAAATACCAAATACAATTTTTTACAAACAGAAATACCAACTTTATGATGCCAAAAATGTCTTTAAACTAACCTTGGACATTTCAGGCTAATATCTCTCATAGATGTAAAATCTTAAACAATAGAGCTAACCAAATTCAGCAAGTAATAAAATAAGTGCTGACCAAGTGGATTTTATTCCAGGAATATAAAATTGTTTAATATTCAAAAACCAATGTAATTTACCACTTTAACAAAATAAAGGAGGAAAGTATGATCATGTCGTACTTGACAGCAGTACATTTGAAAAATCCAGTATTTATCATCATAAAAACTCTCAATAAAAGTAGTGTAGAAGCAAACTGACTCAACCTAATAAAGAGCATTTTAAAATAACCTTCAGGTAACATACTTGATGGGTTACTCAAGGGAATGAAACAAGGGTATCTTCTAATAACTACTTATACTCGAGATCATACTGGAGGCCCAAACCAGTGCAGGAGAAAGGAAAAATGCAGAGGTTGAAAAAGATGATGTATAGAAATATTTGCAGATGACATGGTTTGTATATGCAGAAAAACCAAAAGAATTCTAAAATTATTTGAATAAATTTAGCATGATCACTGGATGCAAATATAAAATATAAATTATATTTCTATGTATTAATAGCAAGTAATTAAAAAGTAAAATTTAAGCTGAGTGCAGTGGCGCATGCCTGTAATGCCTGTAATCCCTGACTGAGGCAGGAGGATTGAAGATCAAAGCCAGCCCTCAGCAACTTACTGAGACCCTAAACAACTTAAGCAAGACCCTGTCTCTAAATAAAAACATAAAAAAGAGCTGGGGATGTGGCTTAGTGTTTAAGCACCCCTGGGTTCAATCTCTGATAAATGAAAGGAAAAGAGTAAAAATTTAAAATAAAAGTACTTATAGCAAGAAAAACACAAAAAATAAGAGGCACAAAATCCTCACAAAACTGAATCAAACAACAAATAAAGTTTATATACTATGTATTATGATTTGGACATAGTTTGTCTCATTTTCATGTGCTGGGAAGCTTGGTCCCTAATGTGGTGGTGTTGAGTTGGGAGAGCTAGGACCTGTGGAAGGTGGTTAGGTCACTGGGGGTGCTAAAGTCAGAAGAGATTAATGTAGTTCTCAAGGGACCCAAGAGGAAAATACATTGTTTTAAAAACAGCAAGCCTGATCCCTGAATCCCTCTAGTTTCCTACCTCATAGTGTCATCACTTCCTTCCATTTCTTGCTGTTTCTCCACCACTGTATGAGACAGCCAGAAGGCCCTTGCCAGGATGCCAGCACCATACTGTTTAGACACTCCAGCCACCAGATTTACCAAACTCAGATAAACCTCTTTATATAAAAGTCCCTAGCCTCTAGTATTTCTTATAGCAACACAAAACAGACTATATACGATGAATAATAAGTGGAGACCCAAGAATGCAAATTTGGATTAATATGCAAAAATCAATGTAACACACCACATGAACAGAATAAAGAGAAAATCAATTTGATTAACTCAAAGACAGAACACACATTTAACAATATCCAACATCCTCTTCATGATAAAAATACTCAACAAAGTTGGAATGAAGAAGAAGGTCCTCAACCTAATAAAGGGCATTGTCTTAGTCCGTTTGGGCTATTGTAACAAAATACTACAAACTCTTTGGGGTATGAACAACAGTAATTCATTTCTCACAGTTCTGGAGACTGGAAGGTCCAAAATCAAGGTGTTGGCAGATTCATGTCTGATGAGGGCCTGCTTCCTCACAGGTGATGCCTTCTTGGTGTGTCCTAGAGTAGTGGAGGCGTGAAGGGTTTCTCTTGGGTTTCTTTGGTAAGGGTGCTAATTGCACTCATGAGGGCTCAGGCCTTAAGACCTAATGTTATTCTCTTATACCAACAGAAAACAGACTCAGGATAGTGATTCTCGGGGTTGGAGTTGTGGCTCAGTGGTAGAGCACTTGCCTAGCATGTGTGAGGCACTGGGTTCGATTCTCAGTACCACTTAAAAATAAATAAAGTCCACTGACAACTAAGAAAATATTAAGTAAAAAAAGATAGTGATTCTCCCAAAAATTGATCTGCAGATTGAACATCATTCCAATGAAAATTCAAGCTAGCTTTCTGGCAGAGATAGATGAACTGATCCTAAAATTCGTATGAAAATATAAAGGACATCTTATACCAAGATTTCCAATTTACAAACACATGCACCTCCCTGCATTGCTTCTACTTTCTTTTTTTTTTTTTAAATAATTTTAGCTGTAGATGGCCACAATACCTTTATTTTATTTATATATTTTTATGTGGTACTGAGGATTGAACCCATGGGTGAGGCAAGCACTCTATCACTGAGCCACAACTCCAGACCCATGTCTCTGCATTTCTTTAGGTCTTTATTAAGTTACTCTCACTACTGTTATGTAAATTTTATTGGAAAGGCTTTTTACCGTGTCAAAAAAGTTTTACAGAAATATAATTAATGTAAAATGCTCCCATTTAAAATATTCACTAGTTTTTAAAATATTCACAGGTGTGCAAACGTTCCTATAATCTAATTTTAGAACATTTTAATCACCTAAAAAAGAAACTCTAAACCCATTAGCAATCTTTCCCAATTCTTATCTCACACCCTCCACACCCAAGCAATTATTAATCATCTATCTCTATAGAATTTCCTATGTGAACACAAGTTTTCAATTCTCTTACATACCTAGGAGTAGAATTGTTAACTCATGTGGTAACTCCATGCTTAGCTTTTTGAAGACAGCCAAACTGTTTTCTATAGTGGTTAAACATTTTAAATTCTACCAGCAATGTTTGAGGGTTCTAATTTCTTCATATCTTCAACAATACTTGTTATTATTTGTCTTTTTGATTCTAGTCATTCTAGTAGATATGAAGTAATATCACATTTGCCTACTGACTAATATAATTGATCATCTTTTCATAGGCTTATCAGTCATTTTTCTATCTGGAAAAATGGCTATTTGAATCTTTTGCCCATTATTTATTTATTTATTTATTTTTTAATTGTTGAGTTATAGCAGTTTTTTATAAGTCTGGTATTTGTTAATTCACCCTATATTTATAGACTCAAAGAAAATCCAGGGAAATTCAGTTTTATTTGGGTAAATCAACCAATTGGTTCTTGAAATACATATGGAAATGCCCAGGACCAAGAGTTGCCATGTTAAGGTTGCTAAGGAATATAGTTTAGGGGATGGGGCTGTGGCTCAGTGGTAGACTGCTTGCCTACCATGCTTGAGGCACTGGGTTTGATCCCTGGCATCATATAAAAATAAACAGATAAAATAAAGGTATTATGTCCATCTACAGCTAAAAATAAATTTTAAAATTAAGAGGAAAAAAAATAAAAGAATACATTTGAGGGCTGGGGTTGTAGCTTAGTGGTAGAGCCCTTGCCTAGCACTTGTGAGGCACAAGATTTGATCCTTAGCACCACGTCAAAATAAATAAAAGGTATTGTGTCCATCTACAATGAAAAAAAAATTACATGGGGCTGGGGTTGTGGCTCAGTGGCAGAGTGCTCACCTGGCATGTGTGAGCACTGGGTTGGATCCTCAGCCCCATGTAGATTTAAATAAATGAAATAAAGGTTTGTGTCCATGTACAACTAAAAAAAAAAAAAAAATCAAGAAGATTACAGTTTAGGGGTTGGGGCTATGGCTCAGCGGTAGAGCACTCGCTTAGCACGTGCAAGGCCCTGGGTTCAATCCTCAGCATCACATAAAAATAAATAAAATAAAATAAAGGTATTTAAAAAGATGTAAGCATAATATAAAAAAATTACAGTTTACAATTTATAGCATAAAATTTCAATACTTAATCTTATAAAAATTATGTACATATAGCAATAAAACAAAGTAGAATATAGAAATATACTCACACACATAAGGTCACATGATCTGTTAAAGAGGCAGTACTGAAATTCAATAAACAGTGTCAGCAACAACTTATATATATGTGAGAAAAAATATATCTTGACCTCTACATAAAAACAAATAAAAAACTTAATTTGAGATGGATTACAGCCCTAAATATGAAAGGTAAAACAATAATGTTTCTAGGAGGAAAATAGAATACCCTTATTTTTGGTCTATTTTGTGCTAGTATAACAGAGTACCTGAGACTGAGTATTTTATAAAGAACAGATATTTACTTCCTTACAGTTCCGGAGGATGGGAAGTCCAAGATCAAGGCACTGGCATCCTGTTTCTGGTGAGGGCCTTCCTGCTACAGGGGAAGGCAGAAGGAAGGGCAGGTGGAGACAAATGTTGTGTCCTCATATGGCAGAAGAGCAAAAGAGAGAATGAAAATCCAGTACAGCAAGCCCTTTTTTCTTAGTACCGGAGAGTGAACTCAGGGATACTCGGCTACTGAGACACATCCCTAGCCCTGTTTTGGTTTTTATTTAGAGATAGGGTCTTGATGCTTAGCACCTTGTTTTTGCTGAGGCTTTGAACTTGTGATCCTACTGTCTCAGCCTCTCCAGCCGCTGGGATTATGGGTGTGCCCCCAAAGCCCTTTATATAGTATCATTAATCTGTTCATGAGGTCTGGGCCCTGATAATTTAAATACCTCCAATTAGGTCCCACCTCCCCAAACTTAGGGATTAAGTTTCAACATGAATTTTGAAGAGGACAAAAACTGCCAAACATAGCACTTTGTCTGCAATGGTAGGGAAAAGTTTTAAACAGAATGAGCCATGAACTACAAATAAAAGACTAATAAACTGATTTCATTCAAATGAAGAGCATATGTTCTTCAAAAAGATTTCATTATCAGAGTGAAAAGGCAATTGATAACCTGGGGGAAAATACCTGTAACATGTATCAATACATATATCCTACAAGGGCCTCATTTCCAGGATATGCAAGTACCTATAAATAAACAGAAAAAAGAACAAATTGATTTTAGTAAAATGGTCAAGAGCTGAAGAAGCAGTTTGACATAGAGGATATTCAAATGGCCATCAAATGGCTAACCTGAACGTTCATCAGAGAAACACAAATTAAAATCACACTGAGTTACCACTACTCACCTATTAATATTACAAAATTTAAGAAGGCCAAGAAGAGCAGCTGAAATCTTTTACTTTGTTGATAGAGGTGTAAACTGGCACAACCACTTTGGAAAGGTACGTGAAGGTATATAGATACTTTGGCAGTATCTACAAATATGTATATACACACATATTAGAGAATATATGCCTACTTATGACCCAGCTATTACACTATTAGATTCCCCACAGAAATGAACGCTAAGTCTACCAAAAGATATTTCAAGAATGTTAAATGTCATAATAGCAAAAATACCAGAAGACACACAAGTGTCTACCAATACAAAATAGATTAAATTATGATAAGGATTGAACAACTACAGTCTGTAGACTAAAGCCAGCCCATCATTGGAGTTTTGCATGGTTATTAACCTAACAATAGTTTTAAGTGGTTAAAAAATAGCATTTTCTGATATATCAAAATTATGTGAAATTCAAATTTCCATGTCCATCAAGTTTTTTGTTTTATTTTTTCTTCAGTACCAGGCATTAAACCCAGTACATCATGCATGCTAGAGAGGTACTTTACCACTGAACTACATCCTCAGTTCTTTTAAAAATTTTATTTGAGATAAGGCCTTGCTTAGTCATCAATGCTGGTCTCAAACTTTTGATCCTCTTGCTTCAGCCTCCCAAGTAACTAGAATTACAGATGTGTGCAACCAATAGCTCCCCATAATGTTTTGTGAACACAGTCATGTTTATATGTCATCTGTGACTGCTTTCATGCCACTTAAAGGGGTTGAACAGATGTTACAGAGACCATTAGATCTACCAAACCTAAAATATTTACTAGCTGGTTAAAGGAATTATTGCCACACCCAATAAAAAAAGACAATTCAGAGTCATTGTGGATGGCAACAAGACAGACATATCATTTATCTGACTGCATTCACATGAAGTTCAAGAATACCCCCAAACTGCTGGGCTCTCTGGTGCATGCCTATAATCTCAGCTACTTGGAAGATTGAGGCAAGAGGACCGCAAGGCTAGCCTACGCAACTCAGAAAGATCCTGTATCAAAATAAAAAATCAAAATGGCTGGGGGTACAGCTCAGAGACAGAGTACCCCAGATTCAATACCCAGTACCACAGAAAAAACAAAACAGAGCGAAAGAAAAAGAATACCCCAACACTAACCTACGGTTTTAGAAGTCCAAATATTGGTCATTTCTGGGTGGAATCTGGGGCAAAAGGAAGATTTTTTTTTTTTTTTTTTTTGGTATTTAGAGACAGGGTCTCACTAAGTTGCTTAGGATCTTGATAAGTTGCTAAGGCTGGATTTGAACTTGTGATCCTCCTGCCTCGGCCTCCTGATCAGCTAGTATTATAGACATATACGATCATATCCAGCACAAAGAAACATTCTTGATCAGTGTGTGGCAATTGCCTGTGTATGTAAAGGATCATTGAGGTGAATATGCAATATTTATGGATTTTATATAAATTATTCCTCAATTCCTCAATTTAAAAAAAAAGAAAGACTAAAGCTCAGTTTGAATTTCCTTTCATCTCTTTCCCATTTCAATTTTCAAATATTTGATACATGAATTACTTTAACTTTCACCTCCTTCAAATTTTTAAGGCAAATTGATGTTTCAGGTTGCACTGTCCAATAGTAACAATGCAAGTCACATATAGCTGTTTAACCCTAGGTTTATTAGAATTAAATGAAATTAAAAGTCCAGTTCCTTAGTCAAACTAGCCACATTTCAGGTTCTCAATAGCCAGATATCACTAGTAGCTACAGTACTGAATAGTACTGATATTAAAAAATGGGATCCAGTTTTGTTCTACTGGACAGCAATGTTCTAAAGCCTCACACGACTGTTGTTCTTATTTTAAAGGTGAGGAAATAGATGCTTAGAGTTTTAATGATAACTCTTAACAATTTCTCTCATTCTCACAATACTGTGTTCACATACTTCTTTTCCCACAATCACTACCAAAGGTCAATTCTCAACGTAATTTATAAAATTCTGTAAGAACCCAAATATCATTGTCTTTCTTTCTAAGTCTGATAACATCCTCAAAGCTAGTCATACAGAAGTAGACCAGGTACCCTCACCCCAAAGACCCTTGCCATAATTAAGATTCTCTTCTGGTCAGAAAGATTTTTGGAGTGTCAACAGGATTTCACATGAGTACTGCAGAAAGCTCAGTGTGGTCTGAAGCTTTCTCTTTCTTGTAATGCCAGGTTTGCAGACAAAACATGTGAAATTATGGTCTAGCCTAAGAATACAGGACAGAGAGTAACTGTTATGTGAACCCCCAATCCCCACTAAGTATAAATCTAAAAGAATTTCCAGACTCGGAGTCCAAAGATTTTTAGGCATTAGCCCCTCTGGACCGCTGCAGCTTAAATAAGCCTACTTCCTGAAAATTCCCCAGCCTCATCTGTCCTTCCCAAAGACCCTCTCATGCACAATCCCAAATGGACCAATATCCCACCTCAGTCTCAAACTCAAGCTAATATGCACCACATTCACAAGGACAGCCACAGCCTTTCCCCACTTTTTTCCCCCCCACAGGGGACATTGGGACAGATAGGCAGACACACACACACACACACACACACACACACGGCTGTGAAGCAGGTATCATCCCCCGCCCCGGCCCCGGAAGCGTTCAGCAACCTGGTTACTGTGGCGACCGCATCCTAGTCGTAGATCTATCTGAAAAGAAATCCAGACCCTGCCTCGCAGCCTTTTGCAGTTTTTCCAGTTATGGACTACATTTCCTTGAAGGCATTGTAATAAGATGTAACCTTTTTTGCGTGAGATTTTCTAGAAGTTCTGGGGAGCCAGCTGAGTAAGACCGCTCAGATGGGATTCCAGCCCGGTGTCCATTCTGGACCTCACCATCAGGCCTGGAATCACTCTGACCCTGCTTGTATCCCGCTGTAGACCACGTTTCCCGAAGGCCTTTGCGTCGCTGCGACATTCCATACACAAATGCCCTTTCGTCTTGACGCAAAGATCCGGTGTGCCGCGGTCTTGGGAACCGGAACCCTCCCTAAGACCCGCCCCCTGTTTTAGGGTTGGAGCTCGAGACAGCTCCCGTAGAATGCAGGGGGGGGGGGGAAGCGGAGTCCTATCAGGGGCTCCATGCTGACAGTAAAAGGGAGAGCGCTGGCTCTGGAGGACATTTCTTCTAGATCTGAGTGCTCCAGACTATTTCCAGGAAGTCGGCTTTGCCGGGGTGGGATAGTGGTGTCTCCCTCCGCCAGGAAACAGACACCGTCACTTTAGTTCCGAGATCAGCGAGGGCCTCTTGGTACTAGGTGTGTTCCACCGCTCTGAAATTGATGGGTGTGGCCGCTGGAGAGTCCTCGGGCACGATCCGCACCGTTATCTTGGCAAACGGGAGTCAGTCCGAGGAGGGAAGGGTATAACTTGTAGTGTTTTAACTCTGGATGCATGTGTGCGCGCGCTTGTAGGACCGCATGGGAGGCTAATGTTCGTGGCCGCTGGTTTCCTCTCCACCTCTCTAATGTTCCTTTGTGTAAAAGGGAGGAGTTCTGCTAGCTGAGAATTGCTTCATTACAGCTGCCACCGTTCTTTCACTTTACAGACAACGAGGCTCTTTTGAAGAATGTCTTTTAATGTGGATTTAACCCCTGAAAGCATCAAAGGAAGATGCTAGTGTGGTAGTAGGAGCAAATGTGACTCCATTTTGTTTTATGACTTCATCCTATAAAAAACAACCATGCCAAGTAGAAGAGTCATGACTGGGGCAAGATGTTCTTTTCCTTCTGCTAAAGAAACTTTTAAGAACATGGAACTACCTAATGGGGCATTGTTTCTGTAACTATGGTAACGGGGCTCTGTTTCTGTAACTGGGGTGATTGGGCTAACTGTGACTGGTTAGGCTTCCCTCCGCTTGGCTGTACTGTCCCGCTCCTGTAACTTAACCTCTCTTTTGCGGTTTTCAGGCTTATAAGGAGCGCCCTTGTAATTGTTCGGGGCTGATCCAGGGGAACAGCTTTATGTTCTGGTCAGCCGCCACCGGTGTGCTTCAATAAAGGCTTGATTAGATTATACGTGAGTGGTCTGGAAGTCAGTTTATGAAACCCTGGGAGGAAGCTTTAACTATAACATCTGGGGGCTCGGGGATCCGTTTCTTCCCTACCCTCACCCCAAATTTGCCTCCAGTGACGGGCCTTTGGACCTCCGCCAGGAGTAGAGGGGAGCTCCTGAGAGACATTCCTCAGCCTCACTCTGAGGACGACTCCAGTCTGTCCTAGGAGGCTCTGAAAAGCCTCCTGCCAGCCTGTCAGTTCTGGTGAGTTGACTCTTCTGTGGGGGAAATGGTCAGATTGGACGCAGTCGCTTACACCTTCCCGGGACTGGACGTTGTCATTGTCTCCCTAGAGATCTCCCTGTGTGACCTCATCTGTCTGTATCTGGGGCCCACTGGAGGCCTCCCTGAGAGGCCTCATCTGTCTGGGGGCAGGACGAGACGTCTGGAAGTCAGTTTATGAAACCCTAGGATGAAGCTTTAACTATAACATTAGTAGATGTCCCATTCCACCTTGAGAGCCCTTTGGGGTGGGGAGGACGGCTTTCTTGCCTGAGGTTGGGTAGAGGTGGTCCCAAATAATTTTGTGGACTTTGAGGAAGATTTAGTGTCCTTTGGTTGTTTTTTCTTCTGCTTTTTCTAAGAGAGGTACACAGGGAGGACTTCCACATTTGAAAGCCGTTATTTTTAAAAATCTTTTTTAAAATATTGTTTAGTTGTAGATAGACATAATACCTTTATTTTTATTTATTTTTATATGGTGCTGAAGATCTAAACCATTTCCTCACATGTGCTTGACAAGTGCTCTACCATTGAGCTGCAACCCCAGCCCTGAAAGTCTTGCATAAAGTAAGTTAACATTTTCTTTCTTCCCTCAGATTTCATTCTTTTCAAGGCATTTTCTGTGTCCTACAACATCTTCCTGAGGAGGAACCAGCCAGCCAGTGATACTATAGTTATGCTTTCTAGCTACACTAGACTTCTCCTTTCTACCCAGTTACATATCAATCCTTTCTGAGCCAAGAGTTTGATAAAAATAATTACACTTCTGGAAGGAACTTTGAAGACCTTTTAATTTTAACTTTATTAAAATTTCAAGCAGAATAGAAAGTATAAATCTTAATGTTTCTAACAGTATAGCTATACAGTATAGCTATAATTAAGAACATATCTTCTATCAATCTTTACCCATTTTCTTCCTATGATAGTATGAAAATACTATCATATAACCAGTCCATATTCAAATTCCCCTAGTTTCATAGATAGATTTTTACAGTTGATCCAGGTAAATTACACACATTGCATTTTGGTGCCAAACTTTAAACCTTGTTTAATCCATGTCAGTTTCCTATTTTTTTTCTTTTGTCTTCATATAATTGGTGCTACTGATTTGTATAAAACCTGTATCATTTGACCTGTAGACTATTCCACATCTTACTTTTGGATAATAGTTTCCTTGTAGTGTATAAATTTGTAACGACATCCCCTATATTTCTGCAAAAGTGTAGTTAGATCTAGATTCAGATAAGATTTTACCTAAATCACCTTTTTAGGCAAAAATAGTTCATGGTTGGTACCTGTTGCATCACATCATGAGGTTCTGAAAAGTGTGGTGTCCCACTTGTGGTGATGTTATACCCATTAGTGTTTACATGTTATCTGTATAATGTTCCCTATTATAAAATTCCCTCTCCTCTTTCTCCTAAAACATGCATTCTCAAAGGAAGAAAAAAGTGAGTATTGCCCATGAAGGGCCTGGTTAAGTTGTCCTACATGAGCCTCCAGGAGTAGCTGGAATTAAGAGATTTGCACCACCACACTCAGGTCTTCTATATATTTGTTTTGGTTTTTTGGTGGTGCTGGGGATTGCACCCAGGGCTTTGTACATTTGAGGCAAGCACTCTACCAACTGAGCTGTATCCCCAGCCCTCTTATGTACATTTTAAATCATGATTTTCATCTTTTCCTCAACTTTTTTCTTTTGATTTGTAAAATGAAGCTCATTTGATCTTGAAAGTTACCCTTTTCAATATAAGTTTCGAATCCCCCCCAATTTGTCATGTGTCTGTATGTTTTTGTATCTCATGCAATTTTTAAATGTAGTAAAATTTATCCATATAATTTTAAGTCATAGAAAGGTTTTTTTCCCTTCTGGAGTTAAGAAGAACACAGCAAGTTTTTCCTTCTAGCACTTTTATGATTTTGTTTTATAGTATTTAGAGCTCTTATTTATTTGCAGCTAATCTTAGTATGTGGTATAAAACATAGATCTGATTTTACCTTTTTTACTAACATTTATTAAATAGTCCATCTTGCGCAGAGATAAGAGATTTTTATTATATTCCATTATCCTGTATATCTATTTATATGCCAAGATCTAGCATTTCAATGACATGGATTTTATAATTTTTTTTAAAATCTCTGTTCTCATTTTTTTTTCCAGGTATTTTCTGGCTATTCTTACTTTTTAAATTTTCTTGCTCATTGAATTTAAATTTAATGTTTCTGGGTCCATACTTTTTGATGCTTTATTTGCATCTCTATCATATATCAAATATCTTATCCACTTGTAGGGAATTTATATCTTTATATTTATTTTAGCCCATGTATTCTCAGTGAGGATGTTATTACCTCCAATGGGTGAAAATTGGTCATGGGAGTCAAAATCTTACTATAATGGCTTCTCACTCTTCAAACTACATTCTACCCAAGAAAATCTTGTTCCTTATTATTTACTTTCTCATTAGCTTTTCTTGGGTATCACTCAAGCAACATTGAATTCAAGAAAGATGCAAATGCAAGATCAATATTTAAAAAAAAAATCAGTCCTACAAAACTATGGCAAAAAAAGGTGACTATAATTTGAGGATTTTCACTTGTTCAGTATTTTTTTGTTGTTTCTTGGTAGTTGTAGATGGACAATATGTCTTTATATCATTTGCTTATTTTTAGGCAGTGCAAGGATCAAACCCTCACACATGCTGGGCAAATGCTCTGCCACTGAGCTACAGCCCCAGCCCACTTGTTCACTCTTGAATTCATACTTCTGTTTTTTTCAATTAATTTTTTTTTGTGTGTGTATGGTGCTGGGGATTGAACCCAGAGCTTTGTGCATACAAGGTTAGCACTCTACCAACTGACCTATATCCTCAGCCCTCGAAGTCAAACTTCTAAAGGTGGCCTGCTGTATGTACTTTCACTATCTTGTGAATTAACCCTCATTGCTTTTGTAACCTGAGCTTGGAGAAGTAAATAAAAATAGTTTTATTATTTCATAAAAGTTATTCAACCTGTTGAATAAAAAATTCTGAAAGGAAAGACTTTATGCAAAGGATCATTGTTATAAGGGAAGGAAACTGGTATAATTGGGAGCATACTACAACCATAAGATGTGCAACCATCTCAAGGTTCAGGCAGAAGAAATTTTCTTTTATGAGAAAGAGCAAACAGGCAAAAAAGAACTGATATAGGCAGTGGGAAGGGTGTAGACAGTGGAGTTGGAGATGTTGTCGGCAGTCATTTGGGCTTGAGTCGCTGTTCAGGGGGTTATTACCATGCTGAGGGGCTGAAGAAAACATTGAGGTCCTAAGAGGGTTGCTTTTCTGGGAAGGGCATGAAAGCTGGGTAAAATACTTCCACCTCATACCTTGCTTATGCATCTTTTCCATTTGGTAGTTCCTGAGTTGCAGGTAAACATAAGTAAAGTACCTTCCTGATGCTAAATAAAATTGTAGGAGGCCGTAATATTGGACTAGCCTCCTTCACTAGACCTTAGCATATATTATCAAAATGGAATCAATCATGCTGAGGTTCCTTGCCACCAAATCAAAAACAAGTTGTCATCTAATCTTCAGAGAAATCAGGAGAGACAACCCAGTTTCTGAAACAGGCCAGGTTCAGTTGGTATAATAACGGATTTTCCTCTACTTTAATCCTTAAATCATTTAATCCTTGTAAAAAAGTAACCTAAAGTGGGCTGGAGTTGTAACTCAGTGGTAGAGTGCTTGCCTTACATGTGTGAGGCACACTGGGTTCAATTCCCAATACCACATACAAATAAATAATGCTATTATGTCCATCTACAATTAAAAAAAAAGTGGCCTGAAGTAATCTGATGTTAATCAGTAACTTTTCTATTGTTCTTTCTTCCTGTTCCCACTTTACAAGGACTTTGAAATGACAAATCTGTTTGACGTGCTTTGTTTCCACTTTTTACATCCCTTATCTATAAAACTAAGCTCTGTGTTTGGGGATGTCAATCAGTGGTAGGGTATTTGCCTATTATGCACAAGACTCTGGATGTGGAATTTCCTGGGCATGTTCTTTCCTATGCTACTGTAGAGTGAAGGTACCCTAGGAAAGTAGCACCTTTAGCGTCCTGTTTGACATCATGGAATTAAGGAAAATTCTATCCTGAATCTCTTCTGCTCTAGCTGGTTTTCATTGGATTTGTGGGAGGGCTAAGATTTTTCCAAATTCCCTCAAAGAGGGAAAGTTTAAGTAGTTCAGAGTCACTCATTTTGTGAGCTCTGAGGCAAGTCTGATCTCATGGCTTCTTTTATTTCTCCAGCATTGGCATCTTTGGATTCTGCACATTTCCAGGAGAGAACCTCGGAGAAAAGATGTGTACTGTCAATTTTAAAAACTATGCCACATGTGAGTCATTATTCCTTCTTTCCTTCTTGAAGGACAATCATTTCATTGTGTGATGTGAATATTCGACTTTTGTATCCCAAAATTTTCTGCCTTTTTTTGGTTCCCTAAGAGAACTGGTCCCAAACATTTCCTATTCCAATAAGTGATACTAGGAAAAAAACACTGACTTCTCTAAACATTTTCCCTCTGTCCATTGTTTAGATGTTCATTCATGGGATCCTTTTACATTTTTCACATGCATAGTCCCTTACTAGGAGCCCTGAGGGAGCAGAAATAAGTCCTCTTTTTTTTTTTTTTTAACGGGGTGGTGGACAGGGATTGAACTCAGGGGGTTCAACTACTGAGTCACATCCCCAGCCCAATTTTTGTATTTTTTATTAGAGCCAGGGTCTCTCTGAGTTACTTAGTGCATCACCCCCGTTGCTGAGGCTGTCTCAGCCTCCCAAGTTGCTGGGATTATAGGTGTGTGTCACCAAGCCCGGCTGAAATACCTCCTCTTAAGAGCAGTCTTAGTACCATGGTTTGATGAGTTAGAGATGAATTGTTAATAGGGACATGTAGTAAACCTTGATCTTCTCTACATAGTTTTTCTAGTTGGAAATGACAGCATTTCTCTTTGGATGTTCTCTCAGTGTGTGACAAGATTTTCTGTGAAACTTTTAAAATTGGGTGGGACGGAGTCCTGTGAGGAAAGAGATCTTGACCCTTGTATTCATGTTGTTACTGTAACAGAAATAAATTTGTCTAAAAAAAAAAAAGAAAGAAAGAAATTACTGGACCCAGTGGCTCACACCTATAATTCAAGCTACTCTAGAGGCAGGAGGATCACAAGTTCAAGACCATCCTCTATAACTCAGTAAGATCTGGATTCAGAAAAATAAAAAGAGCTAGGGATATAGCTCAGTGGTAAAGCACCCCTGGGTTCAATCCCCAGTACCAAAAAAAGAAAAACAAGAAGTTTATTCTTATACTTCTGGAGGTCAGAAGTCTGTCATGGGTCGGATAGGGCTTCAATCAGGGTATCAGCCAAGCTGTGTTCTTTCTGGATATTCTAGAGGTGAATCTGTTTCCTTATGTTTTCTAGGATCTAGAGAATGCCCACAGTCTTTGGCTTGTGGCTTCCTTGCATTCTCAAAGTCAAGAATCATATCATTTTGACTTGTATGTTTATAATAAGGTCTCCTCCTCTGACTTCCCTGTTTTTTCAATAATTTTAAATACCCTTGTGATTACATTAGGCCCAGCCAAGTAATCTAGGATAATTTCCCATATCTCTGGATCCTTAATCACACCTGACAAGTCCCTTTTGTCATGTAAGGTAATGTAGTTACAGGTTCAAGGGAACAGGATATGGACATTGCAGGGGTGGGGGGTATTATTCTATTTATCATCATATCAATCTCACCCAGGAACCAATGAGTGAAGATGGTTTTCAGTGAGGTTTGCCTTGGAGATGGTCAGAATGTGCCAGTCCAGAGCTTTTAAATTTAAATTTTTATTTTGAATAGCTTCAATTAAAAAAAGGATTTCATAAGGTTATTTACAATGCTGAATGTACAATTATGAATGTATGTCTTTTTGGCAACAGGGTACCTTTCTTGAGCAGCAATACAATTTTTAAAATATAAAGATGTAGTATTATTTCTCATATAGAGTTATTTTAAAAAACCAAGGTCTTAAGGAATTCACAAATCATAACAGGAAGTAACTATTTTATTAATTTCATGTGCAAATAATTACCAAATCTTAATACATTAAAAATATATGTAAATGCCCATAGACTGTACAAAAATTAACATCCCACTTTGTTGAAAGTTACTAAATACTTCCCACCATAAATATACAAAAACCTATTTTCAGATGTTAAAATTACATGCATGAAATATTAGAATGTTTTCTAAAGCTTGCTCTTCATGGACCAGAATTTCTTAAGTTATTTTCAAATTCTATTAGTCTGGAGACCTGGCAAAAATTGTTTGGAAAGAGTCTATCAATCTTGTTTATCTTTTTGTTTAAAAGGAGAAGAGAAGGGAAGACTTATTTTCATAAGAATTAATTGTTGGGCTGCAGTTGTGGCTCAGTGCTAGAGCACTTGCCTAGCACGTGTAAAGCACTGGGTTCAATCTTCATTACTATATAAAAGTAAATAAATAAAATAAAAGTATTGTGTCCATCTATAATTAAAACAAAAAAGATTTTATTATTGTTTATTAGAATTAGACAGTTTAATGTTCTGATTGCATTCAGTATTTCATGTTCTCATTTCCCCTTTTTTACTTCCAGACCTTTCTGATTAATTGAATTGTCCTATTATACACAGGTTTGTCTGTAGCAATACAAGTACTTGAGAATCATGTTGCTACTACAGTTTAGGCACACATATTCCTTCAATGACCAATAATATTAATATTATCAGCCATAGCCTATTGTCTATTATGTCTTACCACCTCCTTTCATGACCTCTTCCATCCTTTCTCATTTCACCTCAAAATTGTTACCATATTTTCACAAATAAAAAATGAATTTTTTGTTCTAGTGGCCAGTGACTTTCAGTAATATGTCTGTCAACTTCTCTGGGGAGGAATGGGGATGCCTGGACCTTGCCCACAGGGATAGGGATAGGACATTAGAGAACTATAGCAATCTAACCTCACTCAGTAAGCTCTTCTTATATAATAATCAGAATTTGTCCCCATATAATTTCTGCCTCCTTCATTGTGAATTTCTAATTTCCATTCCCAAGGAAAGGTTTCAGTTTGTAGAGCTAGAAATGGAGTACTTCATTGTGTACTTCTGTGTTTATCATCCTTTGGATCATGATACCTTCCTCTGTCACTGTCTCTTCATTGTCGGCCACTGAATGTGATTTGATTCTAGAACTCCTGAAGAATCACCATGTTCCATTTCTTTTCTTTTAAGCTGGATGTATCATCCCTAAGCCAAATGTGCCTTCCTTATTGGAGCAAGGAAAGGAGCCTTAAATGGTGGTAAGAACCAAAACAGGAAGACAGTGATCAGGGAAATGAGGGTTGGTCACCGCAAAGCATCTGTTGCTGGTAGTTTTATGGTTGGTCTGTGAAGTAGCAGCTCTTTGAGATGTTTGTGTGAAACTCTCATGAAAGGCCCAAGGAAAGAAGGCCTGACACCTGGGGAGAGCAGGTGCATTATATCAGTGTGGGTATGTATAACACTCTTCTCTCCTATTTCCCCTTTTGTTTTAAAAAGGAAAACTACCTTTGATCTCTCTCAGGGGAAATCATTCTATTTATTTTTTGAATTATTTTTTCTCCTAGATATTCTTTTATATTTAAACTTGGACAAGTATCTCCAACTAGGAAATGTCTGTTGAGAATTCCTGTGTTCTTAGATTAGGATAGTCAGGATAATCTGTCAGGGGAAGGTAATCTTTGAACTGAAACCAAAATAAAGTTAGCCCTGAAAAAAAATCAAGGAAATAGATTCGGCAGAGGAAGCAGAAGTACAAAGTCCTAGAGATATATTGAGCTTTACTTATTTGAGGATTAGTAAGAAAGACAGGGCAATTAGAGCAGAGACAGTGAGAATAGAAAGGAGAGGTGAGGTAACCAAAATAGATTTGATCTTATAGGACCTTTTAGGCCACTGCAAGTAATGAAATTTTATTCTGTATATGGAAACCAGCTCCTGACTGGTTTTGTGCAGATGAATAAGGGATCTTTGTTTAAAAGTCCTGAGGTACTGGGGTTGTAGCTTAGTGATAGAGCACTTGCCTAGCACATGTGAGGCACTGGATTCAATCCTCAGCACCATATAAAAATAAATAAAAAATAAAGGTATTATGTTCATCTACTACTAAAAATTTTTTTTTTTAAATGGAAGCAGGGGTGGGGGGGCGGGTGGCTGGGTTTGTAGCTCAGTGGTGGAGTGCCTGCCTTGCACTACATGAAATAAACAAAGGTATTGTGTCCATCTACAACTAAAAATATATATTTTAAAAAAATAATGAAAGCAGGACTGGGATTGTGGCTCAGTGTCAGGGCGCTTGCCTCGCATGTGTGAGGCACTGGGTTTGATCCTCAGCACCACATAAAAATAAAGAGATAAATAAAAGTATTGTATCCATCTAAAAAACTAAATAATAATAATAATAGCAAGAAGACCATTAGAGGACTAGTTCAGAATTTCACGTTGGCGGTAGTGGCTTGGAATGGGGTTTAATAGATGAGAATTGGTGATATTTTAAAAATAGAATAAATACTTTTGAAGTCAAGTACTTTGAAGGTTGGAAATAGAGTCATCAGGGTTAAGAACCTGGCAGAAGAAAGTCAAGTTATGTATTTGAGATGCTCATTAGATATCCATGTGGAGAAGTTAGATAAGCATTTGGAAGCCTTCAGGTGGTGGGGATAGTCAGGACCAATAAGAAATACGGGATTAGTCTTGTATCATGGAACGGGATGTGAGTATGGAGGACTTGATTTAGACAGAAGGCAAGGCAAAGTGCAAGGATAAACCATAGGCATTTCGGCATTCAGTCAAGAAAAGGAGACTAGTCTAGCAAAGGAGACTGAATAGCTTGTTATCAAGGAATGTAGTGTACCAGGAACCAGTGACAAACAAAAGGAGGGATTTGAGTTGGGTGTGGTGGTGCATTCCTGTAATCTCATGGATTCAGAAGGCTAAGGCAGGAGGATTGCAAGTTTGAGACCAGCCTCAGCAACTTAGTGAGGCCCTGTCTCAAAAAAAGAAAAAGGCTAGAGATGTGGCTGTGATTAAGTACCCAGGGTTTAGTCTCTGGTACAGAAAAAAGGGGGTGGGGAATTTGGTTAATGAGAGATTCTGCCCATTGGTCAAGTAAGATGAAGGCTAAGAATTAGCTATTGGATTTGGCAAGACAAAAGGATATTGGTGAGCCTCACAAGTAGGTTTGGAAATGAGAGGAACAAAAACCTGGTTATAGAGGATTAAAAAGAGAGAAGAAATGAGCCAACACTGGGACAGTGAATTAGCTCACTAGGCAGTGTTAAGGCGTTATTGAGGTGCTCTCAAAGATACAAATAGAGTTTAAAAATGTTTTAGAATTGCCAGATATGGTGGCACACACCTATAATCCAGGTTAATCAGGAGGCTGAGGCAGGAGGATCACAAGGTCAAGGCCAGCCTTGGCAACTCAACCAGAGTGTCTCAAAAAATAAAAAGGACTTGGGGTGTAGTTCAGTGGTAGGGCACCCCTGGGTTCGATCCCCAGTAACACACCCAAAGATTAATATCTATGTTCAAATATATATCATATTGAAACTTCCATAGTAGATCATGTGACAAAAAGTGGTACTAGTATGGATGTTATTGAGAAGCAGTCTAACTTGAATTGAGCGTCAATCATAAAGTATTTATTATGTATTTATTTTTTAGTTGTAGACAGGCACAATACCTTTATTTTATTTATTTTTATGTGGATTGAACCTAGTGCCTCACACATGCTAGGCAAATGCTCTACCACTGAGCCACAACCCCAGCCCTCAATTATAAAGTTTGAATAGACATTCAGTGTCAGTTTGAAATGAATAAACATTAGGGTTAGAGTAAAGCTTGTGGCAAAAGCATGTGAAATAGAAGTCTTCACATGGTATGGGGAAGAGGTGTTTTTATAAATGTTAGTGATTGTTAGGGTAATTGGTTAAAATAAGGTGGCAAATGAAATTATGATGGGGGAAAGAATAAATTTATTACTTTTATTTGGAGTTGCATCATGCTTTTCACTTCTAAAGCCAATTGATTACTTTTATCTTTTGAAAGGTGAGAAAGCCGTGTTGTTCTATGTGAAGGAATGATATGGCAGTTCTTGCATACTTTCTTGGTAAGTAGAGCTTTTTGTTGTTGTTGTTTTAAATATATTTTTAGTTGTCAAAGGACCTTTATTTTACTTTTTTTTTAAAATCTATCTATTTAATTGCGGTGCTGAGGTTTGAACCCAGGGCCTCACACTTGCCAGGCATGTGTGAATTACACCACTGAGTAACCACTGAATTACACCCCATCCCTAAATTCACATTTCTAGTGTTTTATTTAAACTCTATTTACAGTATATAGGTTCTAGAATAATTTTGGGGTTAAGTGATAGATGTAATAGTGGCAGGAGATGTAGAAATACAAGAGCATTTTCTTGTGTGAATGATGTTTGTTATTATTACTGTGACTTGTGAAATCCTCATTGTGTTGTGGCTCATATATACAAGGAATTCAGGGCTATAATTGTATATTAAGTCCTCTTAGAATAGTGGTAAAATTAGAACATAAGTGCTGGAGGTGTAGCTCAGTGGCAGAACACTTGCCTAGCATGTGCACGGCCCTTCCTTCAATCTGTATTAGACCACCCAAAAAAATAAAAGTTAAATCATGAAAATAATACTATAATTCTCCACTTAGGTAAATAGTTGGTAGTAAGGATAAGTTAGTTAGGCTTTCCAATACTTGCTTTGCTATTAAAGGAAATAACATCTAGTCTTCAAGCTAATAGTATAGTTTGGCTGTAGATTTATTCATAGTTTGAATTTGCAAGATAAAATAATATTGATGAGCCCGCGCCCTGCTCCGCTTCGGCCAGAAAGCCCCTTAGGCGCAGGGGGAGGCCCGGAGCAGTGCAGGAGTGGGCGGCCAGTCAAGGGCTGGGGTTATGACTCAGTGGTAGCTCACTTGCCTAGCACATGTGAGGCACTGGGTTCCATCTTCAGCACAACATAAAAATAAATAAATAAAAACAAGGGTTTTTTTTTCTTTAAAGCCAGTCAATATAGAGAACAGAAAATAAAACCCTGCATTTAATTGTTCTGTTTAGTTTCCACGTCAGGAAATTATTATTTACTGATAATAATAATAATAATAATAAAATTGTTAAGATAATTGTTAGGAATCATTATACCCTGATAATTATTTCCGGATGGGATTAGTATTGCTTTAAAAGAATATAGAATAACTGGGCATAGTGATGCACACCTGTAATCCCAGTGACTTGAGAGGCCGAGGCAGGAGGATTGCAAGTTCAAGTCCAGCCTCAGCAATTTAGCAAGGTCCTAAGCAACTTAGCTAGACCTTGTCTCAAAATAAAAAGGTCTAGGGATTGTCTCAGTGTCTAAGTGCCCCTGGGTTCAATCCCCAGTACAAAAAAATAAAAAGAGAAGGAAAGAAGGCATTCATGGCAGCTGGAGTAGCATGTGGAAATTCTAGCTGGGAAAGAAGAAAGAATTTGATATATTCCAGGATCTTACATCAGGCCAAAAGGATAGAGCATTATTCTTGAATACAGTAGTGGCTCAGAATGAAGTAAAATGTATTCAAGAACTGGATCATGCAGCAACCTTTAAGACTTTTAAAAAGTATATATTTGTAGTTATAGGTAGACATAATACCTTAATTTTGTAATACCTTTATTTTTTATACCTTTATTTTATGTATTTATCTTTATATGGTGTTGAGGATTGAACCCAGAGCTTCACACATGCTAGACAAGTGCTCTACTACTGAGCCACAACCCCAGCCCCAACCTTTAAGACTTGAATAGGAGTTTGGATTTTATTCTAAGTTAATGTATAAATCATTTGAAACATTATGAGTAGTACTCTCAAATTTTGTTTTATATCAGAAGCATCTGAGGAGATTAATGAATACAGGTACATTTGCATTTTTCAGTTGTTAATAAGTATTAAATATCAACAACATTCAAAAAAATGGTACTAAGCACTAGAGACAAAGCAATGGATGAACCAAAGTCCTTGCTTTAATTAAGCATTGGAGAGAAAAGACAGTAGACCAACTTTAAAAATAGTCTATTAGTGGAAAATACAGTAGAGCTGCAATTACGTATTGGACATTTTCATAACGTGACTTTTGAGCAGACAACTGAAATGAGGGGATAACAAATATAGATAGGGACTGGGTTGTGGCTCAGCGGTAGAGTG